AAAACCCCAGACCACAGTGCTGAGGAAGGAGGACCAAAACTCATTGGAAAATCAGTTTATACAAAATTCATAGTCCTCCAAGTCTTACATTAAACCTTAAACACTACCTAACAAAGCCACTGTTGTTTGAGTTACTGTCAAGGGAATTAGATAATAAAACACCTTTAATTATGGAAAACTTCATATTGTAAGTAGTAAGTATGATACTTTTATTTTTGGTCATGAACTAAGTTAACTTACAAATGCCGTACTGAAACTTTTCTAGAAGTAGAAACCAAGAGGCTACTGTTTTGTCTGTAGACTTTTTGTAATTGTTGATTACAGGGTGCCTTTTAGAGCATCAGACTCGCATGTTAAAATAATATGACCTTATGTGGTGCTGCCTTGTGCAAATTCTTAACACTGTAGCCTTAGATAAAAATCATTGCAAGATACTGAAATGTGATGGAAAACAAATGCTTAAATGTGACTAGATTCCACATGCTTCGACAATTCCATGCTTATATGTTCTTAAATACTCTCTGAAATGAGAGAAATCAAGTGTTTGCACGCTGGGAAGAAAACGGCAGAGTACTGGTGAGAGAAAAATTGTTTAAACACAGGTTAAGGCTAAGCCTCCTTAGATGCTGTTTCTGCTGAATTCTTCCCTGTCATGGTGCCTGCTACATTCCATTGCTTTTGTCTGGTCTTAGTATTTGGGATATTTTGGTGTGAGGGCTGGAAGGGGTGTGGGGGAGGGGAAGACACGCTGGAAGCTGGTCAGCAGTAAGGAGAGGAGTGCTGGTGTGGGAATTGTGGAGTAGGGTCAGGGTTTAACTTTAGTGGCCATTCATCAGATGATGATTGATTGCTGTGCAGTCCCGGGGGACGTTTAACAGCATCTCCGCCCATCCCCCTGCCCCCTTTGAAAGCAGATGGACCAAAAAAGAGGGAGAACGACACCCAGGAATTCCTGCTGTTGTAAAATGTTTTTACGGTGCACTGTACAGCCTTTCCTGAAGCAATCACATTTATGGCCTTGCTGTTGTATTTCTTGGGCTGCTCTGGCTGTAAAAGATGAATAGCCCTGTAATATGGTTCACTGATTCTGTTTAAATTGAAGTAGGCTCCCTTTATTGTTTTGTGTCTAAAATTGTATGCCACCAATTCAGGAAATATTTCCTGTTTGGGAAATAATCAACCCATACCTGATTTATTTTAAAATAAATCACTTTTAACTATCTCTAAAACTAAATTCCCCCCTTGCTTCTGACTCCCTTTTCATTTAATTTGGGTGGAAAGTCCAAAGTACTAATTAATGTGCTGAAGCAGTTATTTAAAGCAAAGCAAAACATGCACGCAAAACTAACCACACACAGCAAAAAAACCCTACTTCTAAAATTGATTATAAATCTTTTTTCCCCTTATTAGACATTTAACAGAATAGGTATTGGAAGGGCAACAGCTTTTATCTTAAACATTTATATTATAAAAAAAACCAAAACCAAACAACTGAAACTATCAAATTTTATTTTTATTAAAACCAGTGAAAACCCACAAAAAACATTTCAAACAATTGTCTTTACTTTAAAATGAAAAATAAAATTTGTATTTTTACTTTAAAACAAGTGAATTTTTACTTTAATTACTACAAAAAGAATCTTATTCACTAAATGCAGTTCACACAATTCCGAATTTCTTTTGAAAGCTGTAATTTGTGTCTTTTTATTCTCTCTTTCCTTTCTGCCTATCAGAACATTTGTGTAGTTTGGAAAAAACAGCATGTGTGTTTTTTCCTTAAAAACAATCTTTTGTGCACTTGGGAAAATGGTAAAATAGTTTTATTTATAGCTTGATGGATCTTTTGACTCTCATCTCTGCCTCTTCAGATAAGGGGGAGGAGGGGGGGGGAGTGTTAGGACTCTCCATAAAGTGCTGTGTGGTGTTTTTAAGCTGATGTCTGTTATGGAAGAATTAGTGTTTTATTATTCCTTCCCACTGCCCATGCACATTTCAAGACCAGCCTTGTTACTTGTCATATAATGAGCATAGAAGGAGCAGTATGTTGCTGTATTAACAGCGCAACTGAAATGCTTTGCTTTTAGGCACACAGTGCATGAAGTCTGAATTGAAAACATACTCGTATATTGTCCTTATTATTGTACTTATATTGTTATGAATTTTTTGCAGGGGGTGCTTGTTGGTGGCCTGGGGTGGGGGGTGTGTTTGAGTTTTTTTCCCCCTTCTATTTAGAAACAGGCATAGAAACTTAATCTAGCAGTACGTGACCTTTGTGGCCATGACCTAGGGACTGGTGTGTGAGCAGGCTTGAACTTTAACAATAAATGCCTGGTTGTGGTTGCAAGCACAGGCAAGCTGGATGCTGTGCTCCAAGCTCCGTTAGCCCAGTCGGTACAAATAAACCCCCCTTGCTGTTGCACCCTGCACAGCTGGGCTCTTTCCAGTTTAATTCTATAGGAGTGTGGCCACATTGCTGGGTAGGGCTGATGTACAGCCTGTTGGGTGCTCCTGACAGCGAGTATGTAAAATCAACCACAAGAGGAGAATTCCCCTTGTACCTTTGCCAAGTTTGAGGTTTCTGTTGTAGTCTTTGTATCCAGGAAAGAGTTTTTTGGGAGCTGCTAGTTCATCTTGAAGCTGGCTGACTTTCGCTTCTCTTCTGGTGAGTAGCTCTCTTCCCCACTGAGAGCAGTAGGGATTATGCATTTGTGCTTCCTCTTGTGTGCATTTAAGGGTAACTGTTTTGAGTAATAGTGTAGTGATGGAGATCAGTCTATCACTGTCTACTTTTTTCACCCACGTTTAACTCATTTGCTCTCAGATTTAAATCTAGGTTGTTTTTATCATTTTGTTTACTAAGAAACAAGTATCAGTGGCTCTATAGTATTTACCCAAGGCTTTCCCCTGCTATGTCCTATGTAAGCAGCATATTTCTGAAATGAGATTATGGCTCTTGTCCCTCTTCATTCTAAATTCATGAGTGCCGTTTTCCACCACGTTGTGGTGGGGGGCAGGAGGCAGCTGAATAGCTAAGCTTCTCTTTGGCTTGAACAGCTGGATGATTCCTTTAGGACTGGATGATGTTACCTCACAGGAGTGCCTGGGTGACAGGGCTGATCTGTGGTGTCTTACAGAGCTTTTGCTTCTGGTATCCTCCAAAATGGAGGATGGACAATAGATGTAACTTCCTTCTGGACTTCTGTTCATATGGTCACCACTTTGTTTTCAGCTGCTTCTGCTTGATTGAGGCCCCAAATCCCTGCTGTACGTTTTTAAAGTATATCAGATTCATATGACTTAACTTGATACCCTGTCTTGGTTTTCATTCTCTCTTCTCAGTTGCTTAAGTGGAGTCATTCAGCAACATGTAATAAGCATTCCCTGTAATTTCAGCAGCAAAAGAACTGCATGAGCAAGTGAACATTGTATACAGATTTAGACAACTGCAGGGTAAAGACAGGGAACCCTCTAGTTGAGGAAGATGATGCATTTGACTAATGAATTTCAGAGCCAAGGCAGCTTTTTACTCGCAAAAGATGGAAGATCTTAGACACTGTTTGAACAGAAGCAAAACCTAAGTTTGCTCCGGTTTCCCTATAGCAAAACTTGAGTTTTACTAAAGCTTTTCCCCATGCATGCACAAACACACACATATCCCTTGAGAAATTAAGCCATGTACCACTTCAGCTGTTGTGTTTATTGGAGCTTAACATGTCACTTTCTGCAGCACAGGCGATCTGAGGGAATCACCTGTCCTAGCCTCCCCCTTGGTTTTGATGGAGAAGGGAAAAGGGGGATGTTATGCACCATATCACCGACTGTTAGCTGGAATTGGGAGTGGCTGGATGACAGCTGTGAGAAGACAGGCATATCAAACACTTGTCCAAACTTTGTTCTGCTCTTGCTCCTTTCTGTGAGGTAGATTTCAAATAGCTGGTGATGGAAAAACTGTAGCAGGAAAAATTGTTTTCCATTTTGTAGTGGAGTTTTGACTCTTCCATGGTAATACAGATTTTCTAACATACCACTCTAACTGAAATAGTGTATGTAATGAAGAGCAAGACTTGGGATGTAAAGCTTTTTTGTATTGAAGTGTTGTACTCCTTGCGTATTTGAAAACAGCTGGTTTCAGCTTGCCCTCTAAGAAAATACACGTCCATGGAAGATGCTATTTCTGTGTGCTGCTTCCCTCTACGGGTTGTAATGGGAACAGTTATGGCTGAACGGATCCAGCTTCCTGGGCTAACATCTTAGTGTAAGACTTCCACTGTGATTTGAATAAAGAGTTTTTAAGTGCTTTGTGAACAAAATGGGGATTTAGTGGTTACCCACAGTTGGCTGTAGTTTTCAAATGCTCTGATAGACATGCAAATGTTCCAGTCTTGCTTCCCAGTTCTAGCATCTCCAGAGTATCACTAGTATAGGAACATTATGTCATAGCAAAGGGTTTTTTTGTTTTGTTGTTGGGAGTGGCAGGAAGGCTCTTGCCTAATGTTGTCACTGCCCTGAAAAAATAAGATATTTGCATATTTTGAAAACATAAAAGGTGGGGTTTGGCATGCATAATCTGTTTCCCCCCTTCTGTGGGGTGGTGTGCTGGAGCTGCAGTTCTCCAGTGTATTGGTTGTTAAATGACCCACTTAAGAGAATGTGGTGGTTGTGCATGCAGGAAGTCTTCACCTGAAACTTGCTATAGGTGAAATCTCCAATGTGCAAGTGTTGGCAGATGGCTTCCGCTCCTAAGAGGAGCTGATGTGGACACTCTTCCTAGTATTGTATTGCAAAGAAAACAATGGCATTTCCATCTAACTGTTAGAGTATGATCTGGAGATTACTGGGGAGGATAGCTCTTACTCTGTAGAGAGAGAACTGCAAAGTCTTTGCCTCTGTCTCCTTTTATAGTTGATCTCTTGGCCTTTTTTACACCCTGACTCTGTTTCGTCCTTAATTTTTCATTAGATAGTAATATAGTTCTTTTTCTTTTATTTTTTTTCTTATAGGTACTGCATTTCTACTGTGATACCTGTTCTGTCCCCATATGTCGGGAATGTACCATGGGACGACATGTGGGTCACAGCTTTATCTACCTCCAAGATGCCCTACAGGATTCCAGGACTCTCACCATTCAGCTTCTGGCAGATGCTCAGCAAGGACGACAGGCTATTCAAGTAAGATGCTCCCAACTTGCATACTTTTTTTCCTCTCCTTCTTCCACCCACAGCTTGTCTGTTACAGGGCAAGGTGTCAAGGCAGAAAGCTCTCTGCTTCTGCTGTCAGTCTTCTCACTCCTTCTGTTCTCTCAGATCTCTGACAGAAGTGGCTGTGGAGCTGAAAATAAAGTGCTGTTATGAGTTTTGCATTCTTGCAGCATAATCCTGTCATGCAAATCACAATATGAAGCTCTGTACAAATGTGGCTGTGTAAAGCATTTTGAAGAAAGTTCTAATCTTGTATAGTAACACTAAGTATAGTTTTTGTTTTTAGGACTGGGACTTTTCAGCTGTCTTTCATGCCTGTACAGCATCTAACATGTTGACTACCTATGGCTCTGGTTACCTCTTCAGTGTTGCCACCAAGTATAAAATACTAATTGGCTGTTGGATTAGTGTGAAACTTCTAACCTGCCTGTGCAGAGGATCTGGAGCTACTCCTGTACAGATTACTCTGTGCACACACAGAGATACATACTGTAATTGCCTATTATTGCATTGTACCTTAGCTATGTTTTATAATGCAAAGGACTGGAAGGCAGTGCTTCAAACTACATAAGGACTTTACATAGGGAACTAACCTGCAGGGATATGCAGATAATTACTTTTGCTGAGTAATACCTCATAGTAACTATTATAATCTTAGCAGTAGTTTTACCTGTATAAAGATTGAGAAAGCTTAGTAGGAAGCTTTACTCCACGCTACTGTTTTCTAGTTTTGTTAGCCTCATGCTGTAGATTCAAGCTGGAAATTCTGAAACTCAGCACTTCAATGTGATTTAACTAAGAATTTTTTATTTTTTTAGTAAACATTGGTAGAATGCCATGGATAGGAAGTAAACTTGCTTTCTGCATTGGGTTTGCTTTCCTGATACATGCATGGTACAAATAATGCAAAACCCAAACCAAGTCTGTCGTCCACCCATCGCTGTTTATTTCTAGTATATGAGGAAGTAGCTTGTTCAGTAAACAGGGGCAGCTAACTTCTGTTCTTAAGTCTTTGTGCCTGTGGAATGAAATAAGTATTGTGGCAGTGTAGATAGTAAACTGTTGTTGATGTCTCCCTTTAGCTTGTGATGTTTAACTTGTTATGTCAGAAGAGCAAACACCAAATTTCTGAACCTGGATGGCTAATTTAAAACTCTGCTTAAAACAGAATCTTGCAAACCATAACTTCCTCTAATATTTGTTTTAAATGGATCATAAGGCTCTTCAGCAGCATCCATACTGAAGCATTTCATGTGTCCCCAAAATGAGCAAGAAGGAAGGGATTATACCTCACTGGTGTTCTGAATTTCTCCAGTTTGTCATAGACAAGGGCTTGTCTGTTAGTAATTAAATTACTGCCTTTGACCTCCAGGGCTCTTAAACATCTAATTGGTGTGGTTAAATCCTCTAAGAAGGGACTGTCTTTTGGAGCAGAAACTACTGGAATATCATTGAGTACCACTCTGCTACTATTGCATGAATGCTTTTGTGCCTGCCTGCTTCACACTAGGCTTACTTTATTCTTCCTCTTAAGTTTTCTTCTGGCTTTCATTTTAGAGGCTCTTGCCACTGGGGTGAGCTGCTTAATGTAAGACAGGTTTGAAGGAGGGTGGTACTGGTTATGCTTATGTAATTCAAACAAGCAGCTCAACTGAACTTAGTCTGTAGTTTTGCCCTGGTCTAGCTACAGCCCATCCAGGTTAAGAGGCTATCTTGGTGGTGTTAATAAAGCAGCTTGTGTGAAGATTATGAAAGATGAACCATGCTTAAGAACTAAGTTGTATTAGTTCAGTGAGATTTTTAATCTGGATCACTGTCTGGAAAAAGGGTGGTGAGTGAGCAGATTGGTGGTAATCTGTGTGTGCATGTGCAGGAATTAGGAAGACTGTACAGCTAGACAGCTCTACTAAGTAATAACAGCAACAATTAGAAGAGCGTGTGATGCAGTCAAAGGCAGAAGCGTCTGACTGAAAGGCTGATGCAGTGAGCCTGCTGCATAAGGAAGCTTTCCGAAAGCAAAGCTTCCCCTCTTCTTGGTCTGTGAAGCAATATATTTATCCTAGGGAGGTGACAGTATATCAGCATAAATTTTAAACAAGCTCTAACTAGCCTCTAAATTAAAAGGAATTGGCTTCAGTGCTTTTTCTTAAAGATGGGAAACGGTCAACGGAGAATTAATGCCAGCGCAAGCTGCAATATGAGGAACATGGAGTGCTGAGAGCATTGCGAGCATTATGGTGTAGTAACACTTCTTAGTGCGACTGATTCATACTGCTGCATTAGTAACTCTTTTTTTAATAGGCTCTGAAATAGCTGTCTTGACATGAGATGTTGAGGCTGGATGAGGAGGAGTAGTTGTGAATAAAGGGGAAAAGGTGCAGGACAGAGGAAGTCAAGCTGTGAGTAAACTGGCTGGGGAGAGTATCGGGTTAACTGAAGTTGAAGGTTTTTAGGAAGAACTGTTTATTTAAACTCTTCCTGTGGCTGTGGAAGAAAGAGTGTTTTTCAGACTCAAAAAAAAAAAAAAAGGGCAAGCTGTGAGCTGGGATACATCTCAGCCTCTTGGTCCACAGAAGCCTGATATAGCCTGTCACTCCTGAAAGTCCAAACCTCACTTTTCAAAGGAGTTGAAGAGAGAAGCTTGCTTTTTACATCAGGGAAGTTCTGCAGCAATGGAGCGCTTCCCCTGCTTCCCTCTCCTGTACTGATTCTGGCCTGAATCATGTGTTTCTAAGCCTGTTCCTAACACAGGAACTTGCACTTGTGTGGCTGGTTGGTGAGCTGATGTAGCTGAAAGGGTAACCTTTCTTTGGGATTACTTTTTGGCTGGGTCAGCCTCCTGGCTGGTTTATTGCAATGGTCCAAGGGCTGTTGATGGTTGCCAGGGAATGGAGCAGGAACACCCAGCTTTATGGGTTGTAGGACCTCTTATCTCAGTAGAAAGCTATCCTCCTTGCTGGAATACTTTCCTAGCCTTTTCAGAGGCTTGAATTGATTTGCAGGATGTGCAAGCCAAAGCCGACGACATTGGATTAATGGCATTGGGGCAAGCAGGGTTGCTGGCTTTCTATATGGGGAGCTTGCTCTGCTGCCTTGTTTTTACCCCATGAAAGTGCACACTTAGCTGTCTTCTTTCAGAATTTTTTCCAAGGACTGGGCCACAAACCGAACGTAAATCTCTTATGATGAAAGATAGATGGCTTCTTCAAAATGTCATGTCCTTAAAATACGTCTATACATGTGTAATTGTATATATATATATGTGTGTGTGTGCATGTAATCTAATGCACTTGTGTGAACAGTAAAGCATTGAGTGCTTGTTCCCATTTAGGGTCAATTTCCAGGTGAAAATGTTAAAATACAATTTAATCTGTTCATGTCAGTTGTCTTAAAAGTGGTTTTAGTGGAAAACATTCTTTCCTGGATGAGCCTATAGCCATTTTTGCTGGGATGCTTGAAAGTGCAGGCTTCCACACTTAATGCAGTGACATTGGTCATGCACAGAACATAGAGGGAGCTGCTCTCATCTTAACAGCATGAAAGGTTTAGGAGCTGGTGGTAAATAAAGTAGTTCAGCCATTAAGGCAGTGCCTCTTTTCTCACAAATACAGGGTATTCTAGGAAAGAGGGGTAGGGAGCTACTGCAAGAAACTTTTCCAGCCAGAGGTGGAAGCTGATTTATTGCTTTGAGCCTCTGCCCTTCAGTGAAAGCTTCCCTGTGGTTGTCATATGGGTTCCTGCTAAAGGGAGGTCAGTACTGGAGAAGGATGGCACAGCTGTGCTGCAAGGGATCGTTCTGGTGTTGTCACACTGAGTTTAGCTCAGGCACTCTTGTGCCTGGCTTTGAAGTCAGGCTTGCAGGTTTGAGAGTCCAAAACAAACCAAAATGGAGTCTGTGCCTTTCTGGACCCAGGATATGTATCAACAGAGCCTGAATTTCTTTGTACTTCTAGTTACTGTTTTGTGTTGTCTTTGAGTTCTGTAGCATAACATATGAGCAGCTGGTTATTGGCAAAGATGGATTTGACACTTACAGCTGTCCATACTATTGTTCTGCCTCAAACTGTAGGCAAAAAGTCTGTTCTTACAGTACAAGTCAAAGTGATTGTCAACTTTTGACAGGAGTCAACTTCTAGCCCTCCCCCTCATCAAAGCTTCTCTTTAAATTCTCTTTGTGTGAGATTTTTTCTTCAGGTGAGTTTAAGTGGTTTATGTGTTTGGCCTGAAGCCTTTAAATTGGTCCAGTTACTATGGAGTTCTATAGCTGCACCAATATTACTTCAAAGCCACTGTAAGCCTGTTAATCCTAGTATATTTACTGCAGCTATACTTTGTATATGATCTTGCAGTTAATTTTTAAGTATAAGAGCATTAGGAAGGTTATATCCAGTTCTTGGTGCTGGAGAAAGCTGGCTGTTATGGTCTGGTTGCTTTATCCTGCTCTGAAACAGTCATAAGTAATTTGAAAAGTTCTGGGAAACAAGCCTTTGTTACGTAAGGAGCTAAACCTAAACAAGTTAGGGATGGAGCACCTTCCATCTGGTGGAAGAGGCTTACTTGAGAGATATGGAAAGGTTTCCTTAAGCTTTTTGTATTTGCTGTGCTTCTAAAAGCTAGAGAGGGGTTTGTCAGAGAAATGCATCTCAAAGGTTTTTTCCTCTAATGAGGATTAAATTCCTCTTAAATTCCTTTAAGTGTAAACTCTCCATAGTGAGGTAGGCAAGTATGCTTTTACGGTTCTTTAGCTGTTACCTGTGGTCCATTCACCCCTGAAATACTGAAGGATTCATCTGAAGAAAACCAACTTCACTTTCAAGTTTGAATTTTCTCTCCAGACCACTTGCACCTTCATTAGAAAACTTGAGAGCAGCAAACTTGAGTATTGAAATTAATGCCTGAAAAATGATGCCACATTCCCCAATGTTTAGATGAATGGAATTAAGAATCTTAAAGACCTTTTTAACAAAGCTGGCATTGATGAGTTGCAGTACAGTTCCCATAAGCAGCCTTTACATATCTCATGGTATTGCCATAGTGGCATGTTGTTGCTGCAATTTGTTCAAATGGATAACTTGCTGAACTGAATTGGTGTAATCATGGTTTTAACACCTGGATTAACAGGCTCTGTTAAGGAGCTGTGTGCTGTGTGGACATAACTGGACATACTGATTTAATTTGGGTATTGGACTGTGGAATCCCTGCAGTGAGGGGGTCAGACCCTTCATGATAGCTCTGTAGTCTGTCAGAACACATGCTTTGTAATGTTTTTGTTTGTTTGTTTGTTTTTCTCTCCTGGAGTGTTATGTGCTCCCAGTTATAGTTTTTCATTTTAAAATGCAGCACTAGTGAAAACATGGAGTAGTGATATTTCTAGAACACCACATTTAAATATTCCAGTATTTAAGATTAAATTGTAAAAAGCTTTCTTAACTTGAAGCTCCAATTCCTAATGACCAATAGAAGATGGAAGATGTGAAAAATGGCTGAAACCTGCTGTTGTACAAAATGGCATATCCCAATTTGGGCTGTTCTGGAGTCAACCCAGATATCCATAAGTGCAGCCATGTTCTATGATACTGCTTAGCTGCTACTGGCTCTTGCAGATGGCTTCTTCATAATTTAGCGTTGTAGCACCAGTTCCCATGTCAGAGCCACCGGAGCAAGCTCATTACTAGTTTTTCTCCTAGGAGTGTTTGGTTTAGCATGTTGTATGTAGGCACTGAGTGCCAGTGACCCTTTACATACAGTTATGTTTAGGCAGAGCTAGGCCTAATAAGATGTAAAATACTGTATGAATTACAGGAATAGTCTCCTTGAGGTGTTAACAAAGGTGTTTGTATGAAATGTCCAGAGAATAAGAACTTAGACATGATAAAGCTGTGACATCTTACAGCAATCAAAAAGAATAAGGGATTTCCTTGTAAAGAAGGCTCCCTAAAGTTGTACTGAAAGCTCTTGGCTTTTGCTTCAGATAGGTAACTTGCCTACCGCTGTGCCCCCCAATCATACCACTGCCTGCTGCTGTGCCTTTGATGCTGGTCAACCTTCCTAGGCTCTTCTAGCCTGTTTTGGAAGAGTGCAGGATCATGTGAATTTTGCCAAAGCTTTACCAATATCCTGAACATCCTGCCTTAGATCAGTGAAGGATGCCAAAAATACTAAGCTATTCAGTCTCAAGCAAATAAAAATAAATAGAGATGATGGTAGGAGTTGTTGGTAGACAACCTCGTGTTATTAAGTGTAGTGACTTACCCTACCATAACTGGTTCCTATGGCTGAAAGATCACAATATCCACAGGGAATTAATACCTCTCCTGCTGTGGAGCTCCTGAAAGGTGGACTCTGATTTTAGTGAAGAACTGAGATTGCTTTTAGCTGTCTAATGCTCAGTGCTGTATAAAAAGCTCAAATAAGCAAATAAAGACCTTCCTGCTTTCACAGACATGCTTACTAAAACTGGAATATTAGTGGATAGCTTGGTTCCCTTCACTTCTACCTATTTCTCTTTGCAAGAGGAAGAAAGTGTTTTGCTGTAGTTAACAAGAATCCAGGTCTGTACTGGAAGAAATACATACCTTTTCCCTGCAGTACTTTCTGTATTTGAATGGCAAAGCAGAGATGATAGAGGTGCAGTATTCCTACATGTGGACTCTTCCAGCTAGGACTGAGACTTCCTGGCTTTTATGAAGCCTTAATCTGTGGCCAACTGTGACTTCGTGTCTGCTTTGCTAATTAATGAGGTTTTTCACTTTCTGTCAACTTGAAGCATTGAGTCAAATTTGCATGGCAGAAGCTTTGTGTGAAGGCATGTCAGGTCTGCCTCCAGTGGGATGTGGGATATTTAGGCTGTCCATGAGTTTGAAGACATTCCCTGTTAAAAATATAGTGACCTGTGAGTTGCACAAAGGAGGAACAGCTAAAAGGCATGCTCCTTTTACTTAGCCCTGTGCTGCAGAGGGGCTCTCAAGTAGCACTCCTATTTTCCTCTGCCAGTTTGCAAGAGAATTCTTTGGATTTAAGATCAGAAACTTTGCCTTGTCTATTTTTCTCAGGGTTGTCCTTGCATTGTCTCCAGATAGTCTTCCTTTTCCTTTTAGTTCTTTATTCCTACATGACCTGGAAAAATACATTTAACTGAAATTAGTTTAAAATAACTACCTGGAATGAAAATTTCCAAGTAACAGGGCACTTCGGGGTTTTAGTGTTCTCACTGTTGGCATAATCTAGATGCTGTTGAACTTGTCGGGTCAGACTTTGAAAATACCATGAAAGACAACAAAAATCCCATCTCACTTTCTAAATGAAGCTGGACCACATTGAGTAGCTCATAGATTGTATCAAAGCTGATGCAACATACTCATACACAGAATTAAACTGAGGGTGTTTTACAGCCTTTAAATTACTTTTGCTAACTTTACCAAGCCTGTGTTTCTAAAGATCGGAGGTGCTTTCTGCAAGAGCATTCTCTGGTCTGCCTAGTCTGAAACAGCTGGTGTTGTGGCTACTTGTATGAGCGTGAGGGAAAGGTAGTATAAAGTCTATCTAAAATGCTGTCTTTAATACCCAAGCTTATTTCCATGGCTTTTTCTGTAATGTTTTGTGAGACTGGAAACAGTTTGGAAAGGATTTTTGCAAGGAAACAATTTTTCATATGAGGGGAGAAATGAGACTTGTTCCTTCCAGACGCATTCTGTGTATTTGCAAAATAGTACTACGGAATGTTTTTCAAATACTAACATTACTGAGCTATATTGGAAGGAATTTTGTCTCTGTCCAAGGTGTGTGTCCTGGGTTCAGCAGTCATTTTTCTCCTTCTTAGTAGCTGGTGCAGTGCTGTGGTTTTTACTTTCAGCCTGGGAACAGCACTGATAACACCGATGTTTTTAGTTGCTGCTCAGTAATGTTTACTGTGACCAAGGACTTTGAGTCTCATGCTCTGCCAGGGAGGAGGGGAAGCAGGGAGGAAGGAGGGACAGGACACCTGACCCAAACTGACCAAAGAGGTATTCCATACCACAGCACGTCATGCCCAGTATATAAACTGGGGGCAGTTACCCAGAAGGGTTAGATCACTGCTTGGTCAGGCTGGGTATCAGTCAGTGGGTTGTGAGCAGTTGTATTCTCTTCTGTTGTTCTTTCCCTTATCATTATTGTTATTGGTGGTAGCAGCAGGGATTTGTGTTATGTGGAGTTACATTCTTTCAATTCTCTTCCCCATCCTTCTGGGGGGGGAGGGGGAGAGAGGAAGCGGGGGGGGGGGGGGGGGAGTGAGCTAATGGCTGCATGGTTCTGAGTTGCCAGCTGTGCTTAAACAAGGCAGTGTGAAAAACTGAGTGCTGTTTAATGATAACCATCTAATTGTTGGGTTTTTTCTTTTGAAATTATTCACTTCACATTCTTCTAGGGGTATTTCTGTGCAGCTCAGATGCATGGCAAGCAGTCACTTTTCTACAGTGTCATTTCTTAGTAGAAGCAGAACCATCACACAGCAATGGTCTGAATCATTTTGAGGGACAAAACAAACTGGGTTCTCTGTGTGGGAAAATAGGAGTATAAATTTCTGTATAAGTCTCCAGTTTGAGTTCATACTTAGCTGCTTGCTGGAATTGCACAGGGAGTTAAGTCCTGGGGTGTTGGTGCATGGTACAATGAAGGTGTAAATTCCATGTGATAGAATCATAGAATAGTTAGGGTTGGAAAGGACCCTAAGATCATCAAATTCCAGCCCCCCTGCCATGGGCAGGGACACCTCACACTAAACTGTGTCACCCAAGGCTCTGTCCAACCTGGACTTGAACACTGCCAGGGATGGAGTGTTCACAACTTCCTTGGGCAACCCATTCCAGTGCCTCACCACCCTCACAGTAAATAATTTCCTCCGTATATTCAATCTAAACTTCCCCTGTTTAAGTTTTAACCCATTACCCCTTGTCCTATCACTACAGTCCCTAATGAAGAGTCCATCCCCAGCATCCCTTATAGGCCCCCTTCAGATACTGGAAGGCTGCTATGAGGTCTCCACGCAGCCTTCTCTTCTCCAGGCTGAACAGCCCCAACTTTCTCAGCCTGCCTTCATACGACTGTATGTATAGCTGTATTAATTGTTTGTTTTCAACCTCTGATGTATGAAATAGGTAAAGGCATGGTAAAAAAACAAGAGTTGCCACTTCGTGCCTTCACCTGAAGGACAGTGAAATGTAAACAGCAGTTTCTCTTCTGATGCATTTCTAATTGGTTTCTTGAGCCCTAACTGTCTCTTCTTTTTTTATTTTTTTTCTTTTCCCCTCCCAGCTGAGTATTGAACAGGCCCAGGCTGTGGCAGAGCAGGTTGAGATGAAAGCGAAGGTGGTACAGTCTGAAGTCAAAGTAGTGACTACTAGACATAAGAAGGCCTTGGAAGAGCGAGAGTGTGAACTGCTCTGGAAGGTAGGCACCTTACATTTGTTATGTGAACTGCTGACATGTACCTTCTCAAACCTGAAAGCATGTTTTTTAACTAGTGCATGGCTAGATTCCTCCAAAAGAACAGTGAATTGGAACACTGTGGTTTACTCTGAGCTCAGTTTGCTATAGGTAGGATGCTGGATTCTGGCCCTGATTGGTTTTGTGCTGTAGACATTTCTAATCTGAGAAACTGGCTGTGTAAGGACTGCTGTATACTCAGTCCCACAAGCAGGGTTGGCACTCCCTCTGCCTCATATCTTGGTACTGACCCGAGAGAGAAGACATCACCTTTAAACACATTCTTTAAAAAGTGTCTTTAAAACCTCTTTAATACGTTGCTGTAGAACTAGTATATGGGTTTTCTTACATGATCCACTTCTCATAAACAGAGGAAAGGAGTAAAGCTCTACATGCTGAGTCCTTTTTAGAAAGACTGATAGAAATTCTTCAAGACTTCCATTGTTCCCATACCTAAAAAACTATTCTCAAAGCAGTGTCGTTCTCCAGCCAGGAGTGCTTTGTTGTAGGTGCCAGTGGCAAGGTAAAAACGACTTTTTATAGTTACTGTACTTCTAATGCTGCTTTTTCTGAGGCACTTAGATTGAGGGACATGAGTTCACTTTCCACTGTTAGCCTTCCCCAAGAAACTTGGCAGCCATCTCTTGAGGTATTCCTAGTAAAAAAGAAGAGCTGCCCCTGTGCAATTTGTATCTTGAGAGGCTGCATAAATCCACTTTAGTGGAATGTCTGCACTGAGAGCAAGCTCTCTTCAGTTTATATAAAACATTAAGAAGGAAACTTAGTTGTGGCGATAAATCATTTTAGCAAAAACAGATGAGTATATTAAGCCTTCATGTGAAGCATGTTAGTGAATAATTTTGGGTACCAAAGATGAGGCCAGATTAAGTTGTGATTTAAGATTAAGTAATCTCTTTTGGAAATGTGTTGGAGGAAGCATTTGACTTCCTTTTTATTTTGCATTCTGATGCATGCCTCAACTCTTAAGTGAAATAGCATGTTTGTACATCTTTTATCTAGTCAGTGTATAACCAAGCAGTCATCAGACAGTGAGCTGTCTGTTGTTAAGACACGTCTGGCATTGTTCTGCAGCCAAGCAGGTGTTCAGACATAAGGAAAAGTATTTTTGTAACAGTAAAGCAATTTCATATTTGGTTAGTTTTACACAGTAGGTGTCTTTGCCAGATGGTCTAAACTGGTTTTTCACAAGTAAAGATATACAGAGGCCTATGTAAAATAGTTATAAGCAAACCATTTTCGGTTCAGCTTCAGACCCCCAAGTGGGGACTGGCAGTGGCTTTCTGTCATTTGAAATGACATTATAAAATGTCCTGTTATAAAGCACTAGCTCAGCATAACTGTCACAATTTGCAGTAGAATATTAAACTGATCGGACCCCACAAATCCCTGGAGATACATCTAGTATTGTCCAGTCACATGAACACGGTCCTGACAGGTAAGGGAATGGCAAGAGCCCCTGTGCATTAGCTGATGCTGACTCCTATCTTTAGCTTTATGTGATAGCAGCCTACCTTCTGAAATTTGCCTCAGTTCTGGTTAGAGAATTCTCAGCCTCTGCTCTTCCTTAGGAGCCTGCCTGTCCTCCCTGGAGTCTAAGTAAGATGTACCTTTGGATGATCTGTCAAGTACCTTGCAATTAGAATAGCATCTGGGGAAGCAAAACACTGTTAGTAAGCAGGTGACTTCCTTTCAAATGGCACGCCAGCAGATCTGCAGAGTAAGAATGCGTGATGTGGGATGGAGGTTGGGAGAGATTAATCCTGAATTTGGATAAGTAATACCTTTCCCTTATTTCTGCTTGTCTGCAGCGTGGCTTTTAGAGGCCTATCCTGCAGTTGTGCGTCACGACACTGAAGCAACTGCGCAACCAGTTTTTATGTAGAAGGGTGACATTATGGAAAGTTTGCATTATGGGTTGTCTTTCCTGGTGTAAATGTGCTTTTCTTCTCCCTCCTTGTCCCCTGTAAGGTGGAAAAGATTCGTCAAGTCAAGGCTAAGTCACTCTACTTGCAAGTTGAGAAGTTACGTCAGAACCTAAATAAGTTGGACAACACCATTAGTGCTGTTCAGCAGGTCCTGGAGGAAGGCCGTACCATGGATATTCTCCTGGCTCGGGACCGCATGCTGGCTCAGGTACAGGAACTGAAGAATGTGAGAGGCCTTCTCCCGCCACAGGAAGATGACAGGATCATGTTCACTCCCCCTGACCAGGCATTGTATATGGCCATTAAATCAATGGGATTTGTCAGCAGCGGGGCTTTTGCTCCTCTGACCAAAGCCACTGGGGAAGGCCTCAAGCGTGCACTGCAGGGCAAAGTGGCCTCTTTCACAGTGATAGGCTACGACCACGATGGTGAGCCTCGCCTCTCAGGAGGTGACATGATCTCTGTGGTGGTGATGGGCCCAGATGGAAACCTCTTTGGGGCAGATGTCAGTGACCAGCAGAATGGAACCTACTTGGTCAGCTACCGTCCACAGCTGGAGGGGGAGCACCTGGTGTCTGTGATGATGTGCAACCAACACATTGAGAGCAGCCCTTTCAAAGTAGTGGTGAAATCTGGGCGCAGCTACATTGGCATCGGACTGCCGGGGCTCTCCTTTGGCAGCGAGGGAGACAGTGATGGCAAGCTCTGCCGCCCCTGGGGGGTTAGCGTAGACAAAGAAGGCTACATCATTGTTGCCGACCGCAGTAATAACCGTGTCCAAGTATTCAAACCATGTGGGACCTTCCACCACAAGTTTGGCACACTGGGCTCCCGGCCAGGCCAGTTCGATCGCCCTGCCGGTGTGGCCTGCGACATCTCGCGTCGCATCATTGTAGCTGACAAGGACAATCATCGCATCCAGATCTTCACGTTCGAGGGGCAGTTCATTCTGAAGTTTGGGGAAAAAGGAACAAAGAATGGGCAATTCAATTACCCATGGGATGTGGCTGTCAACACAGAGGGCAAGATCCTTGTTTCTGATACAAGGAACCATCGTGTTCAGCTGTTCGGGCCAGATGGTGTGTTTCTGAACAAGTATGGCTTTGAAGGGGCACTCTGGAAGCACTTTGATTCCCCCAGAGGTGTGACTTTCAATCACGAGGGCCACTTGGTAGTGACGGACTTCAACAACCATCGCCTTCTGGTCATCCATCCAGATTGCCAGTCAGCACGCTTCCTGGGCTCGGAGGGCACTGGGAATGGCCAGTTTCTGCGCCCACAGGGAGTGGCAGTGGATCAAGAGGGGCGCATCATCGTGGCTGACTCCAGGAACCACCGGGTGCAGATATTTGAGTCAAATGGCAGCTTTTTATGCAAGTTTGGTACTCAGGGAAGTGGCTTTGGTCAGATGGACCGTCCTTCAGGTATAGCTGTCACCCCTGATGGCATGATTGTTGTGGTCGATTTTGGAAACAATCGAATTCTCATCTTCTAATCGGTGTTTGAATTAGGAAGAAACTGTCTCAGGGATATTCTTCTAAGAGAAAATGAAAAGAAATACAACATTAATTCAAACCTACCTCATCTTTAATTTTTTTTACAGATGAATGTACTTACCTTTTGTGCAGGGAGTGAGTCTGTAAAGTTTAAATTCTATCTACCTCATTGTCCTCCCTTCCCTCCCTGGTTTCTTGCCCTTGTCCCCATCCCCACACACTCACAGTTCAGAACATTTTACCTCTTTTTTTCAACCCCCAATGGGGTTTCATGCACAAACAAGTGTTGCTGTGCACATTAGGTGGTTTGTGTGGTGAGTTCTGTAAACGAAGCCAAAAAAGGCTCTATGTAACTTTTTTAATGGAGAAAATGGTAGTAGGTGTTTGTGGAGAATTTGTGTTCTTGACCATATTGCAGTTCTTTGGGGGGGGATTTGGGAGGGGGGACTTTTGTTTTGTTTGATTGCTGCTGCAGCAGAGAACTTCATCCTGTTCTCCTTTTTATACCTCAGTGTGGTTGATTTATCAGTGAGCACAGCATCTTGCTCCCAGATGACTTGGAACATTTTGTGACAGTGAGTGGGATTCACTCACTGGGAAGAGCAAGTTTGTGTTATTACTGGTTTTTGGCGTTTGTGTATTTTTTTTCTGAAACACAGTAATCTGACAGCACAAATTGAAGCTGATGAAAATGCACAAGAATTCCTTAAGTTTAAAACCAGATTATTCATTTTAATGGTTTGGTGCGGTTGTTGTGAAGTTTAGGAGAAAAGCAAGGCTTCCTTTAATGCACCCCATCTTTTTTTTTTTTTTTTTACCCTTTTTACCTGAAAGCTTAAGCGAGTTTAAAAGTTACTGTTTATTTTATCATTGCACCTAATCTGGGTAGCAGAAGAGGATGCAAGGAGCATTGAAGCAGGGAAAATCAAACCATTTTGATTTAATTTCTTGTTAAATGACTAGCTTTATTTTTTTTTTTTTTACCCCTCCCTATAGAAAGACTTTAAGAGAATAATGTTTGAATTTGCTAGAACAGAAGTGGTACCTTTTTCCAAAAGTAAGAAATAAGCGTAGCTTTGGAGATTCAGGGTGTGTTTTGGAGAAGTCAGCAAGTTTTTTGTGTGTGTTTAAAGAGAATTGCAGTAACTGTCAGTGACAAAAGTATATATGTATATATGTGTTTTTTTTTTTGTCTGGCTTCCCCAAAGAGCTGGACTGAAAAATTCAGGAAGGTATGCTGTAGTTTTTAGGGTCAGGTGGGGTTGTAGCTCCATGTAACTCTTGCTACAGATCCTAGTGAAAAGTTACCAGTACCAGCATAAGGCAAACTGCATCAGGATGAAACCTCACTGGTTTTTTTTTCCAGGGCAGTACCAAAGAATTGTGTGCAAAATAAACATATATGATCCTTTAAAGCTTGGAGGCAGGGGGAAGTTGGCCTTTTCAGGGATATAAGAATAGCTTTTTGGAGAAGCAGAAACATCTGGGGAGAATAGAGATCTCTCTAGCAAAATGTGACTTTCTGAGTCCCTGGAAGTATTTTTGTCTGTTCTTCAACGTCTCACTTTCCAGTTTAGCTGTTGCTTCATGCTCTGCATAAGGCCTTTGCTGTCAATCAGCAATGGTTAAAGTAGGGAACAGAAGGCTTTTCTATCTCTCTGCAGTGGAAAAATTCATGTTTCAGTACTCTTAAGCTTGGAAATGCCATGGGATTTACCTTACTGCTTGCAAGAGATCATCTCCAAAATGTCAATGTAGTTGTTACCAAAAAGTTCAAAGAGCCTTAACCATCCTTCAAGAAAAGGGTTCATCTCTGCCAGCCACCATGCACAAAAGTGACCTGAGATTGAATGGCTCTTTACAAGTTTGTGAGAAATCACAAGGTGCACTTTCCTTCTTGCTGCTTTTCCCCTCCGAGGAGTGTTGACTTTCTAGCCTTTGTAGAAATCCCCATCATGTGTGCAGACAGATGGCTGCCACTGTAGAGGAGGCTTAAACTAAAGGACCCGAAAGAAATGGACAGGTTCATGAGATGGCATAACCTCTTTTGAAAGAAGGGTGAGGAAAGAACACCTAACTTCAATGAGATAAAGTAACTGTGCTTTCAGCCAGAGCCTCAAGGAAGCAAGCTCTTCAAAGTAGTGTTTCAGTTAGGCTTAATCTTAGGACAGAATAGTTTAAAAATAGTCTTTAAAGGATAATCTTTATACAGATGTCTGTCATTAAATTGCTGTGGCCACTCCAAAATATGGGTATGCGAGAAAACTAGTTTACCTTTAACTTTGTCAACTTCTGCTTGTATGCATGCCTCACTTCTTGGGAATGGCCCACAGTTGTGACAGATACCCATGCTTGTCTTGTATTATTGAGTCCAAGAATGATACTCAGCTTGGGCTGTAAAAACCTAATAGCCCGAAAGATCTAAATACCAAAGAAAACTGGTTTAAAAAGCTTTAACGTTTAGTTTGGAGTGTCCTCGCATTTATCCTATCATGTCTTAATAGAAATGCCAGATGTTTTGATACCTTTGCCAGTGTGGCTGACGGTGTTAAAGCGCACTAGAAATGTTCTTGTGCTTTAATGCTTGTTGGGTTCCCCCTTCTCTGGGGCCAGAAGGGAGGTGTTTTCCAGGCACTAAAGAAGTTAAGTATGCATTCAGGATTATGTTGAACTGCAGAAACTTTCTTGCCCCTCTGCAGGCTGCACCGCATAGGTGGTGACAGACACTGAAGTTGCCCTTTGCTATTTTGTATAGAGCCATTGCACAAACCCCCAGTCCAGCTCTGTCAGGAAGCAGAATGACGAACTTTAAGTTGCTGTCTATTTAATCCAGTGTGATTTGCTTACAGACCAAACCTCAAATGTTTGACCTCACGTGTTGGGGAGCTTTTTCGTTTTAAAAACAAGACTGTTTAGCTTTCCCCAAATAATTCCTTATCTTTGTCATAGATAGTGCTAAGCACAGTTGGTCTCATTGAAAAGTGGTAGTGTAGCTTATAAAATGAAGTGTTTTACATGCAATGAAAATAAGTAGCGGTGATATACAGTGCCAACATAAGATGCCTCATAGGGGCTTTTAAAAAGTAATACTTAAATGACATTCAAACCTTGCTCTGTTTTTTCCATGCATATTCTCAGGTTAATAGCCCAGTATCATAACATACGTACTTAGATGCAGGGGAAAAAAAGCAAGGCGTTGAAGCTGGATTTCAAACTGAACAAGCATTCAAAGTAATCTTAACTAGTGGAAATGACCTGGAGAAGGGAGAGGTGAGCATGTGCCTCTTTTCCTTAGCTCTGACACTGGGGAACAACAGATGTGGGTGACAGAGCTGCCTACTGAACTCCCAAAGGAATTTCACTATGCCAGGTTATAAATCAGTGGCTCTCAGTAAACTTCCTCAGTCAGGATGGCTGCTTTGAGTTCAGCCTGTGAAGCCATCTTGTCATTTCTCAGAACTATTTGAGAAGGAACTTCAGTAGCAAACTGAAGCAGACTCAGTACTTGGTAATGCAGATCCTTCAGATAATTCACTCCTTTTCATTTAGTATCTATTAAATACGACTGATTTAGGTCAGCCCATAAGCCTTAAACTTGTAAAGAAAGTGAAGGAAGGCAACACCTGAAAACTGTAATTAGTTGGCATATTGGGGCCAGATGTAATCAACTTGGGAGAAAATATGAGGCATGTGGATGTGGCATTCCCTTGGAATTGCAGGTAAATGGGTCCAGTTTATTATGTTAAGTTAAACCAATATTAATTTCTGAAGAGAGCAGGCTTCTTGGCTTATCTTGACACAACTGTCATCATAAGATTTCTTTGTTCAGTTCTGGTTTCAAAGAAGTAAATTGTGCCAAAGTGTTTTATTTTTTTTGAAGGAGTGTAAGCCAAATGTTGCCAAAAGGTAATAAGGTATTTAAAAGTAGAGATGTTTAGACAAACAGTTTGGAGCTGTATAAAAAATGAACACTGGTACTTGTGTTAGACAAATATTGTACCTTTGGTCTTCGAGTCCTTGGGAGTTTGAAACCCAGTTTGGTACAAAATGCACAACTAGAGATGCCACTGTTTTCTTGAAGTTCTACCTCACTTTGCAGAAGTAAATCATCTACCTCAATTTAGCATCAGACAGATTTGAGAAATTATGGAGAATCTGCCTGGGGGAAGGATTCATCCTGCCTGTTGGACAAGCATTTCAGTTTAAACAGAAATACTAAGTGTGTACAGTGTGGTGACTGCTTTTGTTTGCTTTTGTTTTTGCTGCCTGCCCCTGGAAGCATTAAACTGCCCTTGCTAGAGATGATCCGTAAATAAACCCAGGTGAACTAGACTGAGATACCAAAACACTTTGAGTTTGTTCTGTTTCCACTACAAAGTGTGGAAATGTGAACTTTTTCAGTATTATGACACTACTGGCTGATATGACACACACCTCATGGTCATTTGCAGTGTTCTAATGTCCATAAGGCCTTTAGGTCTTCTCTCTACAAGAGAAAAACTTTGCATGCCTACAACTATGCCCTGTTTGGAAAGACGAACATTCCAAGTGCTGTAAACACAAATGTGATACCAAATGCTTGAAGGGAATAAGATCCTGATTAATTTTATTTTATTTTATTTTGACCTGGTGATTGTATTAGCGGTGTTCTTGACTCAATGGGATTTTTTTCCACCATGACAAAGCAACCAGGTTCCTGTTCCTGGAGGGCAGTTCAGGTTCATTCTCAGGAAGGCAGTTTAAACCAGTATGTTAGGGTTTTATGCAACTTGAATAGTGACATGTGATGTGCCCCTTGTTTTACCTGTGAAGTTGCAGAAGCACATTTTCAGATTACTATGTTGACAAAACCTTTTTTTCCTCCCCTGCTCCTACTGGGGGGTGACAGCAGTGGGTACAGGAGACCCCTAGTAATGGTAGGCTGTGTTGGGTTTGGTAAATGTTCTGGTGGAAAATGTACATTGATGTCTCTAAGTGATCTTACGGGTGAACAGGCCAGACTGGCATCTTTTTCCATCATTTTTTAACCAATAATGGTTCTAAAAATGCTTTGTGTACCTCCATGGTCTTAGACCTTCTATTAATGATTGTATCAACTTACAAACTCAGGTAGATAATTTTTTTAAGCTCTTTTCATAGAGCCTTACTGACTGAATGTTAAGTGTCTGTGTAGTGATGTAGTTAAGTAACTTCTTTTGAACTACCAGACTAGTTTAAAAAAGAAAAATAAGTCCTTTTATAGCTTTGTAGAGTACTCTTCAGCCAATGTAGTAGTTTTTCCTTCACAGGGAGAGATGTCTGTTTCTGGGTTTTGTTTTTAGTTCCTTTGTTAAAATGACTAAAAAGTTTTTAACTAGTTCATAAGGTGTGTGTAGTCACCGGAGTTGATGGGGGCTTCTTACTGTGACTCTTTGTACTGTGCATTACCTGTCATGTGCTGCCTGGTTTGTGCACAATTCATTGGAGTAGTGAGGGTGCAATTTCAGTCAAACAGATTGGCAGCCTCCAACAAAACTGGGGTCATCTACACCTAACCAATGTTATTGCATGTTCCTCCCCTCATGTAATTTTGGATGTATGGCCTCATCTTCCAAAGCTTCATTACCACTCTGAGCAGTGTTGCCTCAGTGCAGGTTTGCATCAGGACCTGAAAGGACTTCATCAGTCTGTAGATGTTTGGCATCTTGAGCTGATTTGGTTTTGTAGTTCCCTCTTCTGTTGCAGTTGTTTCTTTCCTACTGTAGTGATTGATGCTGTTGCTCTCCTAATGATAATAAATGTCTCAGCAGCACAGTGTTCTGCTTTTAATGAGCTGCTCAGCTTTTATATTAAATTGATAATGAGACTGGCAGTGACAAGAACTTCCATGCTCTAAAAAGGGCATCAATGACATATTACTACTTGGATAAAAAATGACATGATTTTCAGATGCTGAGCATGACAGGTTATGTGCAAACTTTTACATAGAGTAAGCAAAAATATTAGAACCCTTGTGTTAATGGAGGCTTCTGAATGTATCTTTGTGGTCCATAGGGAAGGCTGAAGGATGTAGCAAGGAGATGATGTATCAGCTACTGGCAGCCTTAAAACGAAGTCAGTGTCTCTCTGGACTTTAAAATGTTCCTATGCAGTTTATTTTATTTTTGTTTAACCAA